TGTGTGTGTGTGTGTGTGAGAGAGAGAGAGAGAGAGAGAGAGAGAGAGAGAGAGAGAGAGAGAGAGAGAGAGAGAGAGAGAGAGAGAGAGAGAGTCTTTGTTCGAACTGGTTTTCCGTGAAGGTGTTTTGCCGCCTCTGATTACGTTCTGTATGGATCCATAGTTGAAACAACAATTCAGCAGTTTTTGGGGCGTGGTGTTTGGCTGAGTCAAAGGGGTGGGCCCAGGTTCGGTTAATCATGATGTTAGTGTGTGGGCCCCAGGGACGCATCTCAAATTCCTGAGGTCAAAAGTTTTGGGGCTAAGGATTCCAGCTTACTTAGTCCCCAGGGCCTTGTATACTGAACCCAGGGCCCACAAGAGTCACAGTCAGACTCTTCCGGGTCCATCAGACCAAGAGCCGAAGACCTCCAGAAATCAAGCATGGCCGTAGATCACACACCTAGTGCATTCAGGGCTACCTGGGTCCAGGCAGCTTTGGACCGCATCNCAAGAGCCGAAGACCTCCAGAAATCAAGCATGGCCGTAGATCACACACCTAGTGCATTCAGGGCTACCTGGGTCCAGGCAGCTTTGGACCGCATCGGCATCTCTGAACTCAGACAAGTGAACCTCCGCCCTTCATTTGGGGTCAAGAGGAGGCAGTCCAGGCCGATCAGTACAGTATAAGTCCTTGCAGATCTGCTAGGCGCGTATTGCTAGAGTGCTATTGAGGTCAAGAGCGTGAGTGCAAGAGGAAGGGGCAGCAACAGAGGGACTGGCAGTGAAAGTGGCAGCCAAAGGTGGAGAGCGTGTGTGGTGTTGGCCATAGCTGCCGTCTTCCCCCGAACATAAAGCGTATGTGTTGTAAACGAATACGGTATGCGTTGTATTCGTTTACAACGCATATGTGTTATGTTCGAGTGAAAGAGACCAACTTTGCCTCCACAAGGGGGTCGGGTCCAGGCCGAGTAGGCTCAGTTCTGGACCACGGCTGGGGGCCTCATAGCCTTGGCAAAAAGGTAAAAGTAAAGTAGCGATACTAGCGACGTACCTTTCCATGTTCTGGGTTGAGTTTCATTCCTTTCCCCTACTTGGGCCCTTGCTCCACTCCTCAGCAAATGTGCAAAATGTGAATGAATCTTCTGCTAGAAAGTGGACAAATACAACCCCTTTCTTTTTTGTCTCGGTGACCACGGTAGTACAGCGAGACCTTGGTGAGCGACTTTCTTATTTTTCCGCTTCCATAGCTAGGTTGGAGAAGGTGCAGATATGCACTGTAGGTAAGGGGAGAGAGCGAGAGAGAGAGATATGACGAAGATGCCATAGTCTTGGGAGGAGAAAGATGTTTATATTAGGACTTGTATGCTGCTGATGGCGATTGAGGAAGGGGATGGGATAGTGCTTCAGAAGGACGGTATTGTCATATCCGATGTAGATCTTAATGGCGCTGGCCTGAGTGGAATCAACCTGAAGAATAACATTGTGGTCTGGCAAGGTGGTTTGTGTGAAGAGTTTTATTTATTTATTTATTATTATTATTTTTTAATAATTTGCACCATTTCTTGATTTATGCGTGTCATCCTTGCACAGGGGCCATGCTAATCTTCCCTGTATTGTTCCAATTTTAACGGATGTCCCGAAGGACTGTGTGAAGAGTTTTTAACCAATAGTAGATGATAATTGATGACAATGTGAGGTGGTGCTGGAGGAGGAGAGGACCGTGGAGGTGGAAGAGGGAGGAGAGACTGAACATTTTTTTTTAATATGTTTGTGAGTGGGGGCGTGATGATTTCAAGTTATGGGTTCATTAGATATTCCTGTCCTTGAATGACATACCCTAATTTTCCACTTCGGTCATGCACTGCTGTCTGCCATAAGTGCTCCTTGCGATGTCACCTGGAGAGTGTTTTTTTTTGGGTTCAGCATTATGGCTCACTGGGCTTGGTTGGACCAAACTCAACGTGGGCTGAACGATCCCCTCTCTCTCCTGCCCTTCTCCCCCTCTTTCTCTTCCCCAATTGCAAGCTGGGTTCAGCTGAACACTTGCAGCTGAATGGGATTGAACTTAGGTCATGGAGAGTCAAAAGACGTAAAAAGAGTCGGTAGATTCAGTCAAGTTCGTAACGGAACTTAGGTCATTACCCTAAAAAGGAAAGTCGTGTCCAGACCACAGATCGAGGGTTTTAAAGGCCTTACTTCTAAAAGAAAGTCAAACCTTCAGCAAAGTAAGTGAAGGGGTTGCCGGTCCTGGGGTCCAAAAGTCAAATTCCTGGGGTCCAAAAGTCAAATGTTAGGGTTCTAACCTGGTCAAAGTTTCGCTTTGATGGGGAGATGCATCTTTTGCTTCAATGTGGTTTTTTTTTTAGACCCAGAAAATGGTGCTGTGCAAGCGCCTTGGGCAGTAGCCGCAGTACTTTGTTTTCCCACTTGTCGATGAATTGTGGGATTTGCTGGTGCTTGAGAGATTTGTTCTTGAACTGAACTCGTTGAGATTATTTCCAAGAACTTCTACCGTCTTCACCCGAATACAGCGCCCGACCACTATGGCTGTATTTGGGGCAACTTTTCCATCCAGATACAGCGATAATGACCGGGCGTTGTATTCGGGTGAAGACGGTAGCTCTGGTGTTTCATTTGATTTGTATTAATCACAAAAAGCCAATCGACTCTCCTGTTCGCTTCCCTGCCTTCCTTGGTATTGTGATCTCTGTTGCTGTTCCCCGCTTGTTGCACCTTGCCCCCTTTTGAGTCTTTTTCCTCTACCCTGGTCCTTTTTCCTTCCCTGTCCACATCTTCTAATCTCTTCCCCCTTCTCTGTATTACCGCTTGACTGTCTTCCATACTGTAGTTCTCTTCTTTTATCCCCATCTCTCTGTACTTGAACTGTGCCAATAATCGTGAGGCTCTGCACTCTCTGTTTGCTTCTCTTGCCCTTGTCTATTGCACTCTCTTCTCCTGCTGTTCCCTTCTCTCGCTTCTCTTACCCATCAATTAGCTCTCTTACTCTCTTCATTGCCAATGTGGTTTAATGGTTAATTTTTGGGATAAAGGAAATGGCATGACTTCGCCGTGCGCTTGTAGCACATTGTGGGCGTCTACCTCAGTTGTCGGTGAAAAATGTGGATGTAGTTTTTCAGCAATACCTTTCTTATATGACTCTCATCGTTTTCAGGGCCATTTCAGGAAAGCGGAGGCATTATTTGCCTTGAAGAATTATGCTGGGGCAGAGCTGTCATACCAACGAGCACTGGAGTTGGTGAGTGAAAATGTTCTTGCTGTGTGTGTGTGTATGTGCGTGTGCACGAACATGTGCGTTTGTGCTGTGTGTGCACGTGCTCACCACAACAGGCCCTGTTCCACCCAGATGCGTAGATCCAAAATCGATGCAGCTTACCTCTGTTGCAGACAATGAAACATTTTTACCTCTTTTTTTTTTTTTTTTTAGGTTCTCGCAGATCCCTTTTTACTGTGGCTCACACATACAAGGCTGGCCACATTGATTGTGTGTGCACCTGGATGTGCGTGTGTGTGTGTGCGTGTGCTCAAGCATGTGTGTGTTGTAAACTGTCACCACAGCAACCCCTTCACCTTACATTTTGTCTGTTCTCTTAATGATGCTCATTCATATGCAATTATTAATGCTACACAAGAGGAGGGAAGAAGGAAAAGGGGAAGGGGATGGAGAAGCTCTACACGAGGGGAGGGAGGGAGAAGGGGAAGAGGAGCGAAGCAGAGATGCAGAGTTGTGATCACGATCCCGTCGCTGAGACTGGCAGCCACAGGACTTTTCCTCAGGCACAGGCCTTCAGGCTGAAAGGTGGATCACCAACCTTAAACCGCTAGTTCACACGAACCTAAGTAGTGCTCTCACCGGTATACACGGTAAGAGCATTTTGCGAGCCTTGGAAGGTAGCTTCGTCAACCTGTCTTCTTCCCCCGAATACAACGTACGGTCATTCTAGCTGTATCTAGACTGAAAGATGTGTCAAGTACAGCTATAATGACCGTACGTTGTATTCGGGGGAAGAAGGTAGGCTTGTGTGAACTAACTGGTGGTTTAACCATCCTGTAGGTCTGGAAACAGAAGTGGCAGGCGGCTGCAGCTGACCCACCTTTTCAGACCTTTGACGCTGAGGCTGCATTGGGCTATACTTGTGGTGGAGTGGACTGACGTCAAACTGAGACTACTGTCTTCACGTGAGTAGAACACCTGGTCGTTATAGCTGTATGTGGACTGAAAATTGACCCAAATGCGGCTATAATGACCGGGCGTTCTACTTGGGTGACGACGGTAGATGAAAATCGGGTCCATGCAACTTGAGAGCAGATTCCTCAGTGGGGCTCGACCGTCTGAGATGCTGTCCGTATGTTATAGACTCGTGCAGGGTGATTTGACCGATTTGGCATCCCACCTTGTGCTTGTGCTAGAGGGAATCACGCATCTGCTCTCTCTCCCGCCGAGGCCTATTGTCAGTACCGAACTACCGTCTTCACCTGAATAGAACGCCCGGTCATTATAGCTGTATTTGGCACAACTTTCAGCCAGATATGGCGATAATTACCCGGCGTTCTATTCGGGTGAAGACGGTAGTAGCCTTGACTGGTTAGACGGTTGTAGTGGAGGGGTATGTGAAGTTGTCCGACATTTGTCTTAAGTTCTTAAGGCACAGCTTACTTTAGGGCGTCTTGAGCTCTTGGCAAAAGTGGGGACCACTTCCATTTACATAGTGAAGGGTATGGTGGGGGAGAAACTGCCGTTACTGATGGAGATACCACTTGCTGAGCTAGGCCCGCGGCCTGCTATACACTGTTACTATGGGGTCTGAAAAAGAGCACATGGCATCACACTTTGACGAAGTCTCACACCTCTATAGTCGTTAGTGCTTTGAAAACAGAACATGGCATCACACGAGAACAATCTCTTACTCGTCTACGAAGCGAATCCGAAATTGCGGAGGTCTTCAGCCCTGATGGCTCAATGCGGCAAGAATGTTGCCTGGGGGTTTGCTTGCTTGCTCGTATGCTTTTCGTACTATTCGGATCGTTGACAGAGAAGCAGGATGCAAGGGTGACTTCATGAAAACCAACAAAAAGCATTGTATGTTGGTTTATGAACCCTTTTCTTGTGAGAATGGCAAACTCTGAGTTACTTGTTTTCATTTCCTCCCTGAATGAATTGGATATCCCTCTGTAGCGTTGAGTCGTGGGAATCCGCAAGCGGCCCTCTACAAATGTACGTGGATCAAAAGGTCTTGCTTCTGAGAGGGCGGTTCTGTGAGGAATGTTTTTCGACGAAGGGAGATACGCACACGAAGAATCCACAAAAGTGTACAAGTAGACTGCCTGGGGTGGATATCTCGGGGGAAGGACGTTTTTTGAATGACAGGCGCTGGATTGTGATACGCCTGTCTGTCATCCTCAGTACATGGCCCCGCTTCCTTACCTACCTGAATTCCAGCTTGACAAGGGAACTTAGAGGGGTGCCACTGAGTGGTGGGAATTACATAGTGGGAGATACTGTGCACGGTGGACGTCCTATCCTCCAAACAAGTTCTTCCTTTTATACCTCCTTCCATCAAGTGCTGTTTCGTCTGTCCTTGCCTCCCTTGCGTGCATGTGCTCTTTTTCACCCTCTGCTTCTCTTAAGTTGCCCTCTTCTGTTTGCCTGTTCTTCCGAAGCTCCGTGTCAAAGCGGGGACTGTGATCTGTACCTTCACCCTTTCATTCCTGTCCTTGATCTGTTCTTTTGTGGCCTTTTGCTCTCTGAATTTGCCCTCTTACCTTTTATTGTTTGTTTTAACTTTTAAATAAAAAGTTTAGAAACTGGAAAGCGGGTTCGGTGTCCCTCGCATCAGAGACACACACAACACTTCCCTTCGTTATGGTCAAGGGACCCTGGGACAGCAGCATTGATGATTTCCTGTAGAAGGAAAGATGTTATATCGCTCCACCCCTGTCATTCTGGTTGTTTTCCAAGTCTTTTCACTTGGAAAACCGATCTTCCTCCCTCTTCTGGGTCCAATCGACAATTGATTTACTGTGAGCACCAAGTCTGGGAGGTCGCTCTCAGACCACTGTTGTGAGATGCGGCCCTCTTACTTTCTTTGTCTTGTTTTTTGGAAGCTGTGTGTGGACTTTTGAATAAGAAATTATGTTTTTCAATTTAAATATTCTTCGCTCTGTGCGCCTGGTTGCTGACAGTTGATGCATGTGGTCACCGGAGGACAGGCTCCAAACGATGACTTTCTACGGAAAAGGCTGAGTTTGATTGAGGAGGCTAAATCCGGATTCTACTTTCGACAGGTGCATAACTGCCCCCTCAGCCTCCGTTGTCTTTTGTCGCTTGTCTGCTAGTGGCATCGTGCTTGAGGATTGCTTTTTTCTTAAAAATTTTCTCCTTCTCCTCCCTCTTTCTCCTGCTCGTTCATCTTCTCCTTATGTCTTCTTTCTTCTTCTTCCTTCTTCTTCCTCCTTTTTCCCTTTCTGTCAAATCTTTCACCATGCCGTCGCCATTCTTCCTTCTTCCTCCTTTTTCCCTTTCTGTCAAATCTTTCACCATGTCGTCGCCATTTTTTTGGGTCAAAGATTGGACAGAAAGGAAGAAGGAAGAAGAAGAAAGATGGTTGAAGAAGAAGAAAGATGGTTATGTATCATGTACCAGTCCACCAGCCTAACAGGAGTGCGCAGGTCGTCGAGGAGTTCTGGATGCCAATCGAGCATTTTTGCTCAGCTGATCTTTGGAGACGACGTCTATCCTGTCTGGAAGGATTCTTCTCTCATTTTGTTTGTCGCATTGCTTGATGTTTGGGGCTTGTGGAGCTCAATGTAGCTGGAAAAGCCTGTGTCCCATTCCCACCCGTGCTCCCTTCCTGTCGTTGCCTCCATGACAAGCTCATGCAAAAAACGGAGTAAGAAAGGCTGTGGGTGAGAGGCGGGGTGGGATGGGGAGAAAGGGCGGGGGAAGAAAAATGAAGGATGGAAAGTTCGGAAAACGTAAAGCGAGCCAAGAGGCTAAACACTGAGAAAAGTCTGAAAGATGAAAAAACTCCAAAAAAGTTCAAAGAACGCCAATGTTGAGAAGAGGCAAAAACTGAGGGGGACCCAAAACTCTAGTGAGGTCCCAAGTGATCTTTTTATCCTTAGAAGTTACAAATGAAATTGTAGAAGAAGGTATGTTACTTTTGAATACTTGTGTGAATTTTTCTGTTCTGGAAGTTCATTTAGCAAACAATTATGTTCACTCGGTTATGACTTTCTGCTGTTGCCAAGATTGTTCTTGTGCTTTTTTCTCAACACAAGGAAAGGTTCCATGATGTTATGAAGTTTTGGTCAGTGTAATAATGATGGAGGACTGTTGTTTGTTATGTCCAGCTGGTTCCTGGGAGGGACTTCGCTGTTTCGTCTTCGAGTTTCATAGAGAATCAGGTAGGTGCTCTCCAAGGCACAAGGCTCCACGGTTGTAGCGAATGGGATTTGTGATCATTTGTCCGTAATTCAGATTTCCTTCCATTGAATAGCATCATTGCTCCATGCTACTTCGGCTCTGCATCATTGATTATGGCACCTGCCAGTGAGCCATGCATCCATAGGAGGAAATTTTTCAAAACACCATAGTAGTCATGCCGACGGTTGGCGCCCCTGGATTGGTCGGGGGCTGACCAGCCGACCGTTCCACTGGTCGGCACCTACTGGTCGGTGGTCGGTCGGCACCCGGCAAAAAATAAAAAGACAAAAAAGACTTGTTTTTGGGAGGGTCCAAAACCCCCAATAACCCCACCAACACCCCCATATCCCCTCCCTAAACCCCTTTAACTCCCCTATGCAGCCCCTTTACCCCCAGTAACCACCTATAACCCCTGTAACCCCCTTATAAGTTGGCCGTGTTTTGGCAATAGTACATTGTGTATGTATCAACCAGTGCGTTATAGAGAGATGCGAATCATCGTCATGGTGAAACCAGACACTGGAATCTGGACTGTCTGACAATTATGCTAGGGATGCTGATCTTTGTAGAGATTGCAGTTCTGTTTGCTTTCTTCAGCAACAGGGCGTCCAGATCTGGTCCATAGGAAGGGACTCAACCGGTTCTGCCATTATCCCCTGGAAATGGGTTCAACTGCCCGGAGTCTGCACACTAGGCAGATGTTCTCATTTTTTTTGAAAACGGTTCTGAAAGAAAGTTTTGAAGCGAAAAAAAAGTGCTCAGGATATCCGGACACCGTGTGACCCCACTGTGCAGGTGGTAGTTGGGATGTTCAGGTTGTAATGATGGTGCAAACTTGTATTCCTCTTCTGAATTTCATAATGTCTAGAAGACTCTGGAAAGTATAGACAATTCTTTTTTGAGAATAAAAAGCGTGGCAGAATGTCCTTCCTTGCATTCAAAAGCATTGGAGGAACTGAGGTGGGGTACCTGGACTGGGTGGCAGATGTTTGATTCTGCAAGCCGCGGTCTGCAAAGATAAAGCAAACACAGAAAAAAAAAAACGTGTATTAAATTTCTGGCTTTTCGGAAATGGGCAATGACACCAGGTAACAGTATATCGGACTATATCCACACGCGCATACACCATGTTCTTGGACCCTTTCCTTCTCCCCCTTCCCCCCCCTCCCCCACAACGCACACACACACACACACACACACACATTCAAATGCATCGTGGGCAGAATGTCGGGTGTCGGGGTTCAACCTCCTGATGAGTCGGTGGAAGTCCGACGAAATAGTCTGGCACAGTCATGCTTTTTTTGAGTGTATGGCGAATATGACAACACACACGCACACCCCTTTTCCTTCCCCCGATCCTTTCCTCTTTTCTGTACATTAAGAATTCTTACATGGCTGTGTCAGATTTCTACAGTATGTGGCAAAAAGAAGTGCTTTTATTCTGCACCTTGACTCACTCATATCTACTGACACGATCGCAGTGTCAGATCATTCTGGGCAAGAACTGTACTAACATGTCACATCCAGGAAGAGACCGTGCTGCCATGTTACTGCACCTACCTGCATCAGTCAAGGATCTGCCTGTCATTTATTTAGCCGTGAGCAAAGTTGCAAGACTTGCTTGTTGGCTGATGTGTGCCTTCAGACGTGGCCACTTTTCAGTGGACCTGATGTTCTCCTCTGTGTTCCCCTGTTCCCATCCGCAGAGTCGTTGGTGTTTTTATTTTTCCGTCATTGAGAATTCCATAGACGCCTCCAGATTTCTACCTCTTTCTGTTGATAAACTTTGCGACAATTTGCCCTTGCATGGTACAGGTAACTGCACAGCTGTGGGGCACATCGCTACACGCACAGTCGATGCATGCAGTGCAATGACTGCAAAGTGTGCCCCTTGAAACTCACGGTGAACCTTAAACAGCTAGTACATGGCCCCAGCCTTGTGGAGAAATTGTTTGTCCCCTACTCTGAAAAAGTTGGGGCTGGCCCGCCATCGATAAATTCATCAATGGCCGGCATCGCATTTTGGGCCTCCGAATAGGGCCCGTGGCTGATGTATGGCCGTGTACTCGTGGTTTAAGAGAAAGGGCGGACGTGGGTGGTGGCACGCTCCTCCCCCCCCACCCACCCACCCTACAAAAAAAAAAAAAAACGAATAGGAAATGTGTGTGGTTGGGTGTGCATGCCTGTTCTCCTGCTTGTGTGTCTGAGTCGTTATTCGTTGACCATGTTCCTCACCATCGCATTTGGTCTGCCACAGTTCCACTGCAGGTACTTAAGGTCACTAGGGTCGTTTCCGGGCTGCCCCTTGTGGTTTGGAGGGAATGATCCACACATTTTACTATTTTCTTGCACTCGCGTCTTGTATTCCCAATCTATATCCCTATTGAACTTCTCTGATCCTATGGTGGCTATATATCGACAAATGTCATCACTGTTACGTCGACCACAATGTCACCAAGCTGTCCCAGGAGATGTCTTTTATCTACGTTCTCGTTTATTAGAACAAGCGGATGCCCACCATGGCTACTCGCAGCAGGCAACCCCCCTCCTCCGTGCTCTCTCTACATTGCTTTTCACCAATCCCTCACTCCCTGTCAATTCGGTTTTACACTGGGAAATCCTCCCAGAGGTTGGGAAAGAGAACCTGGAATCTCTCTCTCTCTCTCTCTCTCTCTCTCTCTCTCTCTCTCTCTCTCTCTCTCTCTCTCTCTCTCTCTCTCTCTCTCTCTCTCTTCCCCCCCCCTCNCTCTCTCTCTCTCTCTCTCTCTCTCTCTCTCTCTCTCTCTCTCTCTCTCTCTCTCTCTCTCTCTCTCTCTCTCTCTCTCTCTTCCCCCCCCCTCTTCCCCCCCCCCGGTTCTCCCCCCTGCATCCCCAACCCGTTCCCAGCTTTCTCATTTGATCGATTGGTTGATTTATTTTGTGTTCGGTATTTGCATGTTTGTGTGTGCATGCCTGACCCTTATTTGCATGCTGGAACCCGGACGGGGATGTCCAGGTGTTGCACGCCTTTTAATATTTTATTTGGAAACAAGGAATTAAAAACACTCCGTAATAAAAGTCCTCCTCCTCCTCGTTCTGCTGGAGTATAGTGTCGTCCTCTTCACCATGACATGTGTGTAAGTCTGTGTGTGTGTGTGTGTGTGTGTGTGTGTGTGTGTGTGTGTGTGTGTGTGTGTGTGTGTGTGTGCGTGTGTGTGCGTGTGTGTGCGTCCTCCATCTTCTCTCGTCCTCATCTGTCCATCCTCCCTTCTCCTCCTCCCTCGATCCTCCGTTTCCCATCCATCGTCTCCGTGTGTCACCGTCATGTGCGTGTGCATGTATGTCCTCCTGCCTCATAAGAGGTAGTTGTGGATAAGTCTTTTTTAAGTTAAAAAAACTCATGTTGGGACATGCTTGAACTGTGGGTCGCTGAGGATTTAAAGGTACTAGTCAGACGCCCCATGCCCTTGTGCACGGCGGAGTGGGTACAGCCACACATGCTAGGAAGGGCCAAAGGACGAGAGGAACACACCAGGATGCAAATGCAACAGAGTTATGTGTTTGAACTTTGAAGTCACCAGCAAACCATGATGTGCAGAAGCCCATATGAATCCAAGACAGTACGTGAGAGTCAACTAAGAACACAGGTAAGAAAACCCAAGTACAGTTGGAGGATATCAGCTCTGCACCTGCAGAGTCACAGTAGTTTCAATGCAGATGCTGTTGGATAATTCAACCAACTGCAGAAAACCATCTACCGTGGTTAAGACCTGATAGCATCTCCCTCCTGCCCTCTCTTTTTTCTTCGCCTCTCCCTTCCTGGCCCCCTGTTGATCACGGTTAGCTCTCGATCCCATATGCCTCGGGCCCTCTTTCCTTCCCCCCCTCTTTCCTTGTTGATTGTTTCCTCCCGTGACAGCAGCCAGACATCCTATTCTCTCTCTCTCTCACACACACACGCACTCTCTCTCTCTCATGTGGGCAGGGTGATGCGGTGGGCTGGGCTGTGGGAACCCCCTTTCCCAACCAAATGAACAAAAGGAGAACCCCTGAAAGACCTAAAAAAAAGAGAGCCTACCCCCGAAAGAGAAGTGCTATGTTCTTGAAAAACACACACACAAAGACATGACGGTAACAAAGCACAAAAGAAAAGAGCACAACATGGCAGTGCTCTGGTTGCACAATGCAAGCTAGGTGGGTGATGCTACATGGACTGGATGGTACACTGTGGGGTATGTGGGTGATGTTATGTGGGCTGGCTGTGGAAAGCCAAAATGAACTTGCTCCCGAAACATAGAACCCCAATGTTGCTGAGGTCTTTGAAGTTTTTTTCCGCTGTGTAATCCCCCCCTTCTCCCCCCGCCCCTCCTCCCCCTCTACTTTTCTTAATGAAGAAGGTGGGTTGCCCCTAAGATTATTATATTCATCTGAGAGGGTACTCGCATCAGGATGTTTCGGATGTATCTTACTGCAATTACAGCTGCGCCTGGGGTGTATATGGCTGGCATCACGACCAGAGCTGAGTCAAAAGGGTCCCAGACTCCAGTCTGAGTGTGCACAGATTCCATTATAATTCGAACTCATGACCTGTTTGTTTGCTAACAGTTACATTTGGATTGTTCATCCACAAAAGAGCGACAGCCTTGAGATCGGCCGCGGATAATTCAGAGTCATTTACTTATCTGATCCCAACGACATTTGAACTCAGGTCTGCTTATCGAACGGTGCTCTTTGTTCACGTGGGCTGGGCGTGTACTTGTATTTGAATACCTTTGGCCACTTGATTCGGATACAGCTCAGAGCAGTTCGCGGACTGGGTGGGAAGGAAGAGCCTGCAAAATTAATAAATTATATATTGCGTGTCCCTACTGCAGATGGCCCTTCTGCACTGACACACCCTCTCCTCCCCATCGCCTTTCTTTTGGCCTCTCTCACCGTAACGGGAGTACAGTTGAGCACCTGCTCAATCTAACCATATCATGGCTGGGTATAACTGGCTCCTCTGATCCCTCCTCGGAGTTCCTCCGACCTTCTCCGAACTGAGCAGGTTTGTGGACAGGTCCATGCCAACCTGTCCATTTGGCGATTCATGATCTTTGGCCCGGTCCATGATCTATGGCCCAGGAACAGTAAGTGTCAAGAGCTGCTGATCTACACCTTCCGGCTGTCGATAGTAACACTGAGACTCTCTCTCTCTCCCTCTCTCTGACCTGCTGCTTCACTAAATAACTGGTGTGTGTGTGTGTATGTGTGTGTGTGTGTGTGTGTGTGTGTGTGTGTGTGTGTGTGTGTGTGTGTGTGTGTGAGAGAGAGAGAGAGAGAGAGAGAGAGAGAACCTCAGCCCCATGTTTTGAGTGTGAATGAACCAGTAATAACTAAGGAAGTCACATAATGACCTCCATCAGCATTCATCATGCCACACACAAAATGGCAGTTGATTCTTCTCAAACCCTCCTTTCCTTTGTGAGTAAAAAAGTGGAGGAACGTGTTATTCCCCCCTTCTTCCCCTGTTGGGCTGAACTGGTTTGGCCAGAGGGGTTGGGATGTCTTGCGTAGTCACTTTTTTTTGCGTTCTCATTCGCAGGTGTAGTTCACTATGCTGTGCACTTGTCCCGGTACAGAAATGGAACACTAGAACAAAACAGCAGTTCTAGAAGTGTTGTGGCCATGAAGGGCTGTTCATGGATGTGTGGTTGAGAGAGCTGGCCAATGTTTCTCGAAGACTGTAATAAGATATAGCTTTGGATGAAAAACGAAAACACATAATATAATATATATAATAATAATGCGCACAAGAGAAAAGCGTAAACAAAGCTTCACATGAAAGTTCCACAGGAAACAATCTGAAGGGATGAAGGGGCAAAAGGGAACGGCGAACAGAAATCGGCGGATTGGCTTGGTAAGTTGTTCTGATTCAGAAAGAATTAATCAGTTGCCTTACAACAAATTAGTCTCTGGGATAACATCTCACAATGATCTCAGTTCATCATTCATTTTGGTAGGATGAAAGTGGGGCAGCTGAGATGTTCCGCCGCTTTCCTGCTGCTTTGCCTGCCTGCAGTATCCCTCAACTGCCGGTCCCAGTTAGGGAAAATTTGCGGGGCGTTCTTTCTCGATTCTTTTGTTTTCAGTTTTCTCGATTTATGTGTGTCATCCGTGCGTAGAGGCCATGCTAATCTTCTCTGGATTGTTCCGATTCTAACAGATGTCCCAAAGGACAGGAGCGTCCTTTTTCTTTCTCATCATTATTCCTGTCCTTCTGTTGACATGACTCAAATAAGGACTGTGCAAGATTGAATGGCTAGCCCTAGGCCTCGTACTAAGGCTGTCTTACAGACATAATGATAGGAGTGCTTGTTGGTTGGCACTTGACCAATGGTTATGTCATCCACAGAGCATCGAAGGCGCCACTGTGTATCTGTTATATGGCCATGTGCGTGGGTGTCACAGGTAATTCTTCGGAAAGTTCGCCTGATCACGTTGTTAATGGGTTACCTTAGGCACATAAACGAGAAGCAGCGAATGGTGTATGCTCCCAGACCCAGTCTTTATGTGGGGAAGCCGGCCCCTCTTTCTTCGAGTTAATAATAAATGGAACCCGTTTTTGCAAAAAGCAAAGAAAAAAAAAGGGTAAAACAAAAGAAGAAAAAAAGAACGGTGTACCTGACCACATTATGAATGGTAGTCTCATTCCCTGCGAGTCAAGTCTGAGGTGCCTCTGGGGTGATGTGCATTATGGCCAAATCCCTGCTCAACTTTGGACCCCTCCTGGGGTGATGCACTATTGACCCCTCCTTGCTCAAGGGACCCTGGGACAGCAGCATTGATTGCTTTGTGTAGAAGGAAGGATTTACTACTGCTCCACTCCCGTCTTCCGCCTACTGTCTGCACTTGAGTCAAATTCTATATGTTCGTATCCGTGCAGAAAGGGCCTTTAAACCACTAGTACACGGCCCCAGGCGACTCGAGAAAACGAATAAGCAGGAGCCTCAAGGCTACCAGACCTGAGACCACAATGGCTGGAGCCAACCAAAAAACAAAAGCAGTGCGCTGCTGGCGGTTTTGCAAAGCTTGGCGCAAAGTGCGAGTCTGCCGGGCTCAAGTGTAGCGGTGGTTTCAACCACAGAAGATGACATATAAGCACGGCGGCAGCATGAATTGTAGGAAAGGGTAGACAGGGGGGAAAGCCGTGCTCTGCTTCATCATGCGTTGCAGGTCTGAACCATCAACTATGAATATCAGACTGGTTAGCTGGAAGTCGTGCTCGGGCTGGAACCGTCGTCGTCCTCTGGACATTCAGGCTATATGAGAGATGAGGCTGGATTAAAGTGAAGATGGGCGATCCCTCTGGTTAAACGATAGTCATGATGTCGAAAAACCGATGATTCCAGAAGACGACGATGAGGACATCAGTGTGCTATACAGCTCGTAACTTTGTATAATCGATAACAGAGAGGTGAAGAGGATGGTACAACGAACGGACCTCATATAGCTCAGTCGGTACGCGCATGAACTTTTGAAATGCAGACCTCCGTTCAAATTCCAATCAACTCAGACCGAGTCAGACGATAAATAACTCTGAATCTACCTGGGGCTGGTCAGTTTGAAAGATGATATCTCAAGGCCATCACCCTTGAAGACGAAGCAAAAAAAGAATGATGGTACAAAGCACATGGTAATTATGATGATGCCATGATGGTTTTTATTTCTAGTGGCGAAATTAGAACTTGCTGTTGGTAAAAGTAATTAGGGCTTTAAAAAGGGGCTTGCGGATGTTGAGAGTGTGAGTGAGCTCACCCCTTTCTCTTGCTCTCACTGGCTGTCCCTTGTGTGTCCAGTTGGCCTTGTGGCTGAGCTGCAGCTGGGCAATGGGGAGGGCACAGACTGTCCTGACGGCTGAATCACGGATTACCTGCTGGTTGGATTTGCAAATGGACAGTGAGTTGAGGCCAACGCCCAGGGTGAGATCTGACTCAGGTTCAGCCTCCTCTTCTTTTTATGGGACACTGACTGGGCCCAAAGTAGGAGTAACCCGGGTCCCGACCGCCTCAGGTCTCGACAGCGATCTTGCGCCCAGGAAACACTCTATAACCAGACACAGCGTACTTTGCCAGTGAAAAAATAGGGCAGCAGGCCAGAGAGAAATAATACAGAGCAGAAAAGGTCGAGGAGTTTGAAAAGGTCAGTAAGGGCATACTCAGACTTAGGTGTTCCCGAATGTATCAGATGGAAATCATAAACAGATTCATTAATGTGCTGCCTTCGCTAATGTTATGGATTTTGGAATCCAAGGACTGAATGTTTTCATAACTAAATACAAGTTTATACAACCGATAGATCTTTGCATTCGTGAATAAAAGAAAAAGCCGAGTACCGGCGATATAGCAACTGCTTGAACAGTCAGTTTGACAATGATATCTCAAGCTCGTCACCCTTTCCACAAAAAAAAAAGAAAAAGACAAAGAAGTGCCTGCGTTGTGGCTGAATGGTACACACACGTGACCGCTCATAAACAGATTGCAATTCAAATCCTAACATGCACAAAATGTGTCAGGGGATATCGGACTAAGGGAAAAACGAAAAGAAAAAGGAAAAATAGTGAAATACCCGAAACAACAATGAGCTATGCGCCATATGTGAAACGGGTGAAATTGAGGATGTGTCACCCAGCCTGATCGCATGCCCCAAAGCCTGCCAATTCTGGGACAAGGTGGCAGCTCTATGGCAAGTGGTGGTGGGTAAACCTCTTCGGGACCGTAAGGTAGTGATATTCACAGGACTCACCTCCCCGAAACATTCGGAAACATATCCAGGCAAGCTATTTTAGAGGATGAGGCCCTTGGCGCTATGGGCTATCTGGAAGAGAAGATGCCAGGAGGTACTTGATGTGTGTGTGTGTGTGTGTGTGTGTGTGTGTGTGTGTGTGTGTGTGTGTGTGTGTGTGAGAGAGAGAGAGAGAGAGAGAGAGAG